ATTAAAATGGTATAATTTTAAAAAAAAAATTAAGGATACCACCAGTTTTTATTTCTGTTTTTTTTTTTTTTTTTTTTTTTTTTTAAACAGACACACTTGAGCGCTGGCAAACTCTTGAAGTAAAGTGACCATAATTAGCTCTGCTTATTGCACTAGCAACTCAGCAATAACATGAAAAGAAACAGTGGAAAACAGATCTCAAATAATCAGAGGAAAGCTTAACAGAAAAGTATTGTTCTGTAAAATTTAACATCACAAAAATAAACATTTCTGATAAACAGTGGAAAACACTGAATGTTTTTTAAATTCACTAGTAATAACAAAAAGATAAATATTCACAAAGAATTATCAGATGATTAACAGGCTTTAAAACCGAACTGAACACATATTTCACCTCATGCAAACAGCGACAGGGTTTGAGTTTGATCCATTACATGATTTGTTGGAGCTTGGCTTTGTCTCGATGCCTTGCATATTTACAAAGCTCTCAACAACAAAGCCCCTTAAGCTTCAGAGATGCAGCCGAGCCAAAACAACAACGTTTAAGTCTCATTTCTCATCTTGGATATGGAAACTCAAGCAAATGTGTGATTTGTAAACCTTGCAATAAAATAATAAATCACTGATAATCTATTTCTGAATAAAACATTCGATAAAGAAACAGAGTCAAACATGACCACAGAGAAAGTTAAGAGATTTGTGGCTGAAAACAAAAGAAACAATGTCTGCATTACTACTCAGAGGTAATACAGACATGCAGAGGAATTTACATAGTTTCTCATTCTATTCTACATGTTTAGCACTTTCCTATAACAGATTGCAAGGGGCATCATAGATCAAAAAAAAAGAAAAAAAAAAAGAAAAAAGAAATGTAGCCACAAAAGGAGGAGGTTTGTGAAATAATGTGCCATACGTCCTTTAAGGTTTAAGTGACGCATTTAGGAGTTGTTCATCTGGATAAATGGAAGTGCAGCCCAGGAGCTGACTCGATTTAGCCATGTAGCAGCTTCTTATTTACTATCCGAGGCCAAAGTAACATTTCCCATTCAAAGTGTTCATGGTGATTCTACACCTGGGAGATATTGTTCTGACAAAAAAAAAAAAAAAAGCTTTAGGAAGATTTCTTTTTTTTTTTTGCTTTTGGGGGAGTTAGTCAAGTTCACCTCGTGTGCACAAACACCTGGTGGTCGTTAGACACAGTTTCAATCATCAAACAGAGTTTATCCAGAAAACAACAAAACATAAGTCAAACTGCTGTGGAATTTCACATGATGCCTTTATGACGATCCTGACACAAGCTCTTATGAATTTGTCCACCAGTTGTCAGTGCTGCTGAGTCTATGGCTCCCCTGCTGAGAGCAGGGAGAATGGGTTTAAATGTTGCATGAGTTATCGGTTCCAGAACAACGACTGTCAGCGGTGGTAGCCAAATTTTTGCTAATCTATTCAAGTGTGTGTAAAAAAAGAACAGGTGGGAACTGGTTCCAATTACTGTCACAATAATCCAAAGCACTTTAAGGCTAGCATTAAGCTACTTAATAGCATTATGTATTTAGACTCCAGTCATCCAAACCCATGGCAGCTGCCTGGAGCCTCGTGGCTGCCTCCATTATGTCTCCAACCCTGCAGGTGAATTCAAGGCAGATGGTTTTTACCATAACATCATGTTTTTAACAGAAAACGCTTAAATGGACACAAATAGTAGCTTATTTTCAACACTCTTGCTTCTCATCCACTTGCTCTTCTGTCACTCGGACGGTCACTTAGCATGTCACGCAATAGGGAGCTGGAGGCTCCTGTTTTGAAAGGAGCGTTAAATGTGTTCAGCTAGGCACAAGATGTTCATCTCAAGAAGTTACTCAGGCTTGGGAAAAGGCACTTAGCAATTACTGATCACTTCTTAGCTTATCAGAAAGGAATGATGAAACTGAGAGAAATGCTTGGTATTCATGTAACACTGTCAGTTAACAAAAAAAAATAATAAAATCTATCAGGTTTCACAGCTTTTAGCAAATGCTGGCCGGTTCAGGTGTGTTCAACGCTATGTCATGAATCCTATATCCTGGGATCTGGGCAGACCGTCTTTACGCTCTATATGTTACCTCAGGGCAAAATCCGACCACTTAGCAGCATAATGACACACTTCACAAATGAACTCTACAAGTCAAGATTATTTAGAAGCTGCATCCCGAGGGGAACGGTCTCTTCAAATGCTGTGCAATGAGCATGATGTCTTAAAATGCAAATTTGTGCTCCCTGCATGAAAAATAGCATCTCTCTCTCTCTGAAGGAATGACTCTCCACCATGAAAGGATTACCTCAAGATAGATAAACCAGAAGGAAACTAAAATATACTCGAGGCAGACACAGAAATAATAGTTAACACAAATTTAAAGGCAAGTTCTGGTTTATGTTGTACTGCAAAAGTGCTCAATTTCCAACATGTAAAGATATTTTGAGTGCTTCTTATTTATATGAACACATTTATATTGGACTTTAAAAAAAAAGTCAATTTAACTTTATTTAAAAAATGAAAGGGATTATGCTGCTGTAGATGGGTTGAGGTGAGGCAATGAACCCATCATGAGGCTCAAAGAAGCTATGTAGGATTACAAAATGTATTCTTATCTGTCTGAAGCACAGATTTGCACGAAAATAAGATTTTCTGTATTTCCAGTGCTTAAGTATGAGCCAGTTGTACTTTTAGTTATTACAGTTCAGCAGAGGGAAACCATACACATGGTATGTACCTTGCATGATCACAGTTAAGTGGGATTAGTGAAGCAAGTTGGACCTTGTAACAGAAATCACTTTTTTTTTTTTCCATTTCTTTCCCATCTTAAAACACTGACGCCAGAGAATGTTCCTATTTGTGCTCTGTAACTCAGTGATGGGATGTTTGTTACTCCAGTATAAATTATTTAAAATGAAAAGAACACCACAGCACTTACTGTTGATCTTTCATTTCCAGGAGGGCTTTCAACTTTCCCACTTCAGCTAGCTTTTCTGGATTATATAATTTTCCCAAAATCAACCTTGCGTTCAGCCGTTAAAGCAGTTCTCTTTAAGCTGGTTCCTCAAAACAAATCTATATTTTTTGCTTACATCAAAACTACCATTAATGTGGCGCTACTTTTAATAAACGCCATCAATCAGATGCAATAAAAGACATCCGTATTTGTTAATATGCGTCTTCTTCCATCAACCTGTTCCTGCAGCTACGCCATAATCCATGTTTATTGGCTATTGAGTCTCTCGCGACAACGTCTCTTCACAAAGGCTCTGGTTGCCAAGAAACTACTGATTTTAGAGAGACTCAGCAAGAAAACTTGTCCAATTAAATCAAAACTAAGACTGATCACCACGTTATGTGCATTATACAATACGGTGAGGTGTTAATTTTTGAGGAGAGCTCTTTTTATTTAATGTAGCTCTGATACTTCAGAACACTTTCTTTGTTTAGTTAATCTGATTCTGACATGACCCAAGGTGCGAAACCTTCAGGACATCCATCATAAAGGTACCAAAAGTAAACTAGCACCACTATCCCGTCCTAAAAGAGACCCTCTGGCTTGCCAAGCCGCTTGAGAAGGATAAAATAGTTAAGTGGTTGTAAAATGGTACTGAAGAGATCAACTAAGTTCAGAAAAGAAAAGTGAATATTAGTATTCTGGGTCATCGTAAAAACTTGTATTGGATCTCAGTCCTGAGGCTCTGAAACTTTAGGCTTCACCTGTTTTTTTTCTCAAACACATTGCCATTTTCCCTCTCAGGTTACAGTGAGGTTGAAACCATTAGAAAGGTTCTTCCATAAAATAACTTTCCCTTAGGCTTGTGAGAGACTAATAGATACTTCCAGAAAGTACAGAGACTTTGACTCTGATAACATTTGGATTCTTTAGCAGTTTTAGTCATTACAGTAAAGCCTCCAGTTTCTTTCTCGATAAGCAGCTTTACAATATTGTATTTTTCTCTCTGTAATAATTAGTCGTTCTTGAGAAAATCTAAAAATCCCTTCATCCTTTAGGTGCAAATCACAGTCGAAATTGAGAGACGAGTGAATCTGTTTCAATAGATGAGACTAATCTATTTAAATTGCTTAATTTAGTTTATTACAACAGCTCATCAACAGCACATCTGTTGATGAACTAACTATGATAAGAGACAATTGTCCACCAGAAAATAAACACGTCAATCTGCATTGTCATAATTTAATATGTTCGAAGAATTGCATTTTTTTTTTTTACATGTTCACCAAATCCATGCTGTTTACACTGATTGTTCTTACATTCAGTTGGGATTTTGTGAATAAAAACATGCTGTACGAAAAGTAAAATCAAACCTTTCAAATTTCACAATCGGCTTCAGGAAGGTACATGAAGCCTCCCAGTGCAACACAGAGAGTAGGCTGGCGCTGAGTTGAGCACTTTGATGTACTTTTCTAGTTGGTGACAATCTCAGCTCAAGATGGTGAGTTGCCAACTCAGAAAGGCTTTCAAACCAGGGCAAGACGAAGGGAGTTTGTGCACTGGACTAAGCCCCTTTCTAGCTGCTCGCTGTATTTGTGAGGAAACACTTGCAAGGGAGACTCAAGAAAGCTTTACCGCTTGCAAACACCAAGTTTCTTTCACGTGTCCTTTTGTTCTCTTTCACACTTCATAAACTCATAATGCTTACTCATAAATATATAACAGTGTACGCAGCTAAACTGCAGAAGACACTAAAAACTTGCTGACATGAACATCTGTTTACCCTTGTATGTAATAGAAAGCAATAGAAGAGAGACCAGTTAACAAACAACTAATGTCAAATCCTATAGTAACCTAAATATCTTTGCCAACTTGTTCTGGGCTTTAATAAGTACAGGAATGTTTGTGCTTATTCTGCAAATGTAGATTCTTTAAACAACAACGGTTATAAAAACAAGAACAACAGGTTGGTTTGTATTCTTCTTCTGGATCATATTGGATATGCTGGCAGACAATGTCAACTATCTGAATGCCCTGATTAATCCACTGACAGAATTCAGGCCCTTTAATCTACATGAGTAATAAGAAAATCTGACTACACTTGGCAGCTCAGCCGAGGCAGCCATCAGGGAGGGAACTGTGAGTCAACTGTGTTGAATAAAATCAGGTAATTTTCAATGGACAGTGACAACAATAACTAAGTCATAGCTTACGTTGCAATCTGTATCAGAAATGTAGCTGTGTAGTGGTTAAAATGAAAAATATATTACTACTTTAAAACACAGAATTATCATATTTAAGTAACATTTCACTTACCCTGACTTGTCCAACAAACAGATTGACTTGTTCTTCTTGAACAGTAAAATTGGTGCCGAGGGTGATGTTAAATTTTGGGTCGTTGTCATTGACATCAGTCACCACTATGCTCACGGTAGCAGTGGACGTCTAAAACGGGAAGGAAAAGAAACACCGGGATTCAAGAGTTTCTCACATGCTGATTTAAAAGAAAAGTGAGTGAAAAACACAATGAAAAAAAAAACTAATAACCCTATCACACTTCTGAGTACCTGCTTTCCATTCCGGTTGTGTAACATCTTCCAGCATCACCTTGTGCATTTGGCATAAGGTGAAGCAACAGTGAAATCAAGCAGTCATAATATTAGGGGCATTTTGTTGTTGTTTTGTTATGGACATGTTGGTGGCAAGATAGTTGCAACTGAGCCCATTTGCACCACTGTTATCGAAAAAGCTCTCTGAGATGTTGCAACAATGAGATAATGCGTCAATCTCACATACATTACGCAAATGGTCTACGTTGAAAAAGATTTACTCACTTTCAGACACTGAATGCTCACAGGTTCCATCTAAATCATTCCAAGATACTTTTGGTTTAATGCAGCTGGCAACAATTTGAACATTGGACTATGGGCTGTCTTTAGGGCACTGGATTAGGTATGGAAAAAATCCCAAAACATGTATGGAATAAAAATTAAAATGAGAGGATTACTTCTTCAAAGAAAGCATCTTACCCCATTCTAAAGCAGTAGAACAATAATGAAGAGTAAATTGTACGCCCTTCATCACTTTACATACAGACTATGCAAACAGGACCCCATCAAAAAGAAACAAAAAAAAAAAACGTTCAGACATTATATGATTTCAGATTTATTATTTTTTTATCAACTCACAATGTTGTTTTTTAAAGCAGGAAATAAATTTAATTTGATTGTTTGTTTAGGGTTAGGAGAGACAGAACATATGACAGAGTCTATGTGTTGCCCTGTGATGAACTGGTAAAATGTCCAGGGTGTATCCTGCTTCTCGCCCAATGACCGCTAGTGATGGACACCAGCTCCACCTTTACCCCATCTCCCACAACCCTGCAAAGATAAGTTTGTATAGATGATAAGTTTGCATAGATGATAAGTTTGTATAGATGATGGCTCGAGGGATGATTGAGAACTGAGATATAATAACACAACATATCAACACAAAGCCAAACTGATCCACATTTTATCGCACAACAAGCACTTCCTATTAAAAGAGCCCAACTGTTCTGTGGAACACTTGATTATATTTTGTAAAAATAATCACCCCCAAAAGGTTGCTTAATTACAGATTTAGAATTACTCCTGTGTTTTCTGCCTTTCTACATATTCTTAGCGAGAGAGAGAGAGAGAGAGAGAGAGCAAAATTAAATAAAATCAATTGTTTTAAACTCATTCTGTTTCACAGATTAGTCCAGCTGTCTCACATCTTTGTCTCATTTACGATATTTTATTTTTTTTATTACTGGCTGAAAAAGATTCATTCATTTCAAATGCTTCCATAAGTTGCTTATTGGTTGAAAGAATGAATCTTGGAATCACTACTGCTTGGTTTCATGTTCTAAAGAAAAAAATATTCATTCTGAATATATGGTAACGTCTACTTCAGATGTGGTGGCATCATTATCCTCCTGCCAAAAGATCTACTAGATCTGAGGATAAAATCCAAATCAGATAGACAATCTGATGTCTTGGCTAATTTCTGTTGTTTTTTTCTACACTGTCACACAAAAAGAAAAAAAAACAAAACAAAAAAACAATGTTTTAGGTGTGCTTTGATTTAACTCAAATTATGTAAATTATTCTTTCATCAACTGTGCAAAATGTTATAGCCAAGTACAAATAATTTGGGTAGTTCAAATGACCTAAAAATCTAAATATTTAGTATGATATTAGTCATAGAAATAGATGTATGTTTTTATACACTCCATGTAAATACATGGTTTGAAATTTAATGTTAAAAACAACACCATTTGCAAAAAGACATCCAAAATATTGCTGTTTGTTGATAAAAAAAATGGCTGGACATTTTTAACATTGAATTTACTCATGTATTTTAGCTTGGGCCAAAGAAAGAATTGAATTACCTTTGGGTTTTGATTAAAAGAGAAAGATGCTTTTATATTTATTCTCAGGCTGCAAGCAGTCTGAGAATAAAGCAACATTTTAAAATATTGATTAAATTATTAACTGTGCTTTTAGTACATTAGATGATCGCATAACAACAATCTGTGTTTTTTCTCACCACATTGATTACAGTGAATCAAATTACATTTGTATCTTGCCATCTGTTTTCAATTAGTGTTTCTGTGGGTTTTTTGATCCCATAGCTCACTTGGCTAAACCAATTCCCCACTGCACCACTCATTAGCAGAGCCTCTGAGGACAAGTGTATAGCTTATGACCTTCATATAGGGACAAAGTTCAAACCCCTGTGGTGCTTCAATAAATCAACACAGAAAATGGCACCATATGCAGAAGCTGCATTGTTGCAGGGCAGATATGCCTGCAAATAAGAGTATGGACTGCATTTCTTTGGGGATGGAAAGATGTGTGATTGCGGCGTGGCCCCAGTGGGTGAAAATACCTGCGAGAGATTAGCTGTTTGAAGCTTTCTTGCGAAACGGGACGATTGTCACATGGTATAGTTATCGTGAGCCTCCTCACGCTATCGTAGGGGAATCCTTTGTTATTGTTTTTCTTTGTTGTTAATTATCATTGGCACTGTAACATCTATAAAAGACACGCCGAGGGAATGTTGAGGTTGTTTACATGAGTGTCTTCACTTCCAAAGGAAAAGACAATGTGAATGAATGCAGGACGCTGTTGTTGTTGTGATAAGATCAAATCATTTTTCATTTCAAAGAGAGCATTTGGCAAATTAAGGTCAACTCCCAACTGTGGTTGGACTTACCTGTGACAAAGAAGAAAGAAAATCGTCACAACCCATTGGACTTGAATTGGGTTAATGAGATGTGATTTTTGATTCAACTTTAGATAGATGAGGCTCTTTGATGTCTAATCTTCTGAATCAGCTATCTGATAGGTACAGAGGTGATTGCTGAGACATTCGCTTTTAAGAGATAATCTTGACCAGAAACGTTGTTTAGCAACGACTGATACAACCAGACTATTAGAAGTCTGGTACTCGCTCTCGCCAGGAGCGATCCAACTTGCCAGGGTGAATTTTTGGGACCTAAGTCAGCTTGGTAGTTTTCACTAAAGTCGGAGGAGAGTACAAAATTAGAAATCTGTTAAAAAAGGACAATTTGTTTTGTGCAAAACTAGCTGATAGAAAGGAAAAATGTCACAAACAAGTGCTTGCTTTCTTCTTTCCTTTTTGCGTGCACACACACACACACACACACACGCACACACACGCACACACACACACACACACACACGCACACACACACACATATGGAGGCTTATAGTTTTGGTCATTTTGTTTGTTCCTAACCGTGAGTTTACTTAACTTTATTGGCACTGGAGTGGTCAGAAAATCATTGAAGTATATTTGTTAGTGAGTATATACTTAACAAAAAAAAGTATTGGTGTAGCCTTGTGAAACTCAATACTTAAGTCCGGTTTGAAATGCTTTTACATGGAACCAGGTTAGTTTGGATAGTTGTTTTCCTTTATATAAGAAATTCTCATTTGAAAACTAATATAATCTGAGTTAAGAGTTTTGTCACACCCCCAGTCACTGGGAAGTTTTCTTTTTTAATTAATAAATCAATTTGAAGAGAAAAATGCCACATGATGGGATACCAAGATCTTTTACTAGAGATGGATTCATCAAGCTTCTCCTTCTGTTTTTCTTTGCAGCCTAGCATTTAAATTTGTAAGGACAATAACACAAACAAACCATGCAGAATGATGTCATAGTTTCAAATCTAACTCAACATAAAAGACTAACAGAATTTATGCATCAAAAAGGTTTACTCAAAAAAAGCGTGTGAAACTACATGTCAAGGATTGATGTGTTTATAGATTGAGTCAGTATTGGACCAGCCAATCAATGGTCAGAATAAAAAGAACATTTGCAGAATATGGTCTCTTATCAGTGGATTGCAGTGTTCTTAATGTGATCAAAAAATTTCTGTTCATTGATCGACACTTTATATTTACAACACAAATAAGGCAAACTGCATGAAAGTATTCAGTGAACGTTTGATCGTTGCCGTCTGCGCACCACCTGCATCAGGGGCATCAATTATTTAAACTTTCAGAGAGCAAGGAAACAGCTTAGTGGAGATTACGGCTGCTGATTTTTGATATGAGGCGAAAACTCATGTAATTGCTATTAAATATCAAAATTCAGATCCATCACCCTTTACTTTGAAGAAGCAATGTTGCCTGCATGCAAATTCAAGATCTGAGATGTTAAGAAATATAATTCACTTTTGACCTCCTTGTGGCACCTAAACTTCGCAATGTCTATTTGCACAAAAAAAGTATATAAAGCAAAACATAGGTAAAAAAAAATCTATAAAAAAATACAACGTTGCACTTCTGATCCTTTATGTGTTTCTGGCCAAAATGGCAGCACTGAATGAGTTCCTCACCTCCACGCTCCCACAAGCCTTTTCTCCCCTCTCATTTAATTTTCTTGCTGTTGTAACAGGATTACTCTCTAGCTGTGACATAGAACCTACACAAATCAAACGATAATACACTCTGAGAAAGATTTTGTGCAACAGAAAAAAAAAAAAAATCTTTATATAGCTGTGCGCACAACATTTAGACTGTAAATCCACACTGGGAATTGACGCATCAACCTACGTGAACCTCAATTACCTCCTATTTTCACTCTTACCAAGGCGCCGTCCTACTGTGCCTCTCTCCCTCTGTGACGTATCACATAAACGCAGGAACATAGAGTCCGATGCACTATGCCTGCCAATAAGTTACGAGTGTGAAGGTGAGGGGTCAGCAATCAACATCACTCTTGTGACAGCTCATCAGCTAATGTTCATTGCCCATCATACACTGCATCTTAAAAGGGAAAGTGCCTTTCACCTCTGCCTGGAATGAAGGCAGCTGCTGAAAAGTGAGCCAATTGAGGTGAAGTCTAATTAAATTAAGACAGTTTACATGATTATCAGCTCTCAAAGGGAGAAACTGCAGGCAGCATCAATGTTTGTTGATGTCTTTTCTTTCTCAAGGCTGAGATGTCCTGTTAAGAGCCTACTTGTCTATTTTTTATTTTATTTTAAATGAGCAGGTCTCAACTTTGTGCAAATTTTACACTGCAACTTATACATTATGGTTATGGTTAAGTAAATATTCTAATTTTGATTCTGCTAGTTTAAATGCGGACTCACGGCTATATTATGAAAAAATAATACAGTATAAAACTTTTAGTAGGATCTTTTAAAAGAAATAGGGCATTCAAATAAAATGAACTAAGCCATGAACAACTAAAGGTATGAAATAGTGAAAAACAAAATCTGAAGTCAGGTAAGCAGGTGGGCATAAAAAAAACAATCTAACATATACAAACATTACTAAGTAAACACTGAGAAATTAAACTTGGAAAAAAAAAAAAAAGAAAAAAACTTTTCAGCTCTAACACTCTCAAAGGTTTAATGTCTGTCTTCATCTGCCAGTATTAAGATCCAACAATTAGCAGGAAATGAACTGATGTTCTCTACCAGTTGTAAAGATAAAAAAATGGTGAGTCATGTGTCTCTAATTTAAATAAACTGAAAAGACTTCTCTTATACTCTGAATGAACACAGCATGAAAAATGGAAACCTAGTTCTTGGTTTCTAAGTGCAGTAACACAATCAGACTTTTCACTCCAATAACAGACCTGCTGAACTCAAACGGTGGTACAAGTACCACTGGTGATACACAACTGCATCTAGCAGTAGTGGCAACGATGTGTAACTGGAAATTTAAAACCTGAAAGCAATAAAGTGGACAGTGGTGAACGGACACCAAGGCTCTGGAGTCATGTGTGTGTCACATCCAAAACTGAACCTTCTATACACAAACACACTCCCAAATACACACCCACAGGTGTTTAGATTCAGGTGTTTTTCCAGATATATTCACACGTTGAGCAGCGGTTGCCACTGAGTATATCTTGTATTAAATTGTATGGTGTACTTTTCAATAGTGTCAGTGTGTTGGTTGTTGCTATGGTTTCTCGATCTTGTTTGTTTTCCTCTCTCTGCAGGTGTCAAGGCAAACTTCTAGGGTCTTAACTTGTATTCTCTTTATGCTTATTTCTCTTCTCTTAGTTAATTTTCCCCACCTTTCTACCGTTGTTTTCTCCTTTCTTATCCATTTCTCTGTCATTTAAGATGGAACAAATTCTAATAGTTTTATACACATATATGCACATCCATCCATCCATCCATCCATCCATCCATCCATCCATCCATCCATCCATCCATCCATCATGGAGCACCATAAATGAACGGAAGCCATGACCCTCTGCTTGTGAAAATAAACTTGATCAACTCAAACATTAATTCTGAGTCCCACACAGCCAGCCAGAACATGATTTGTTTTGTTAAATTAAAAGTTTTGTTGGCTTAAGTGGACTTTGTTTGACAGTCGTGGGACAGGAAAGTGGGTTGTGAAAGACCGGGAGGACATGCACCAAAGGTCACCAGGCCGGGACTCGAACGTGTGACGTCCACGTCGAGGACTAGGGCCTCCATAAATGGGACGCCCTTTAAAAAAATTATTAAAACAAAATAGGATTAAAAAGCTGAATGTTATTATTTAACCTTGGCTCTAATTTAGTTTCTTCGGACAGTTAATGCAACAAAATGCATTTTGATGAAAATCACAACCTTTAGATCAAAATCCCTACCCAAGCACTTTTATTATTCTGTGTTTCCCTTAAGAGAGCAGCTCTCTAAATGAATCCAGTTGATACGTGAAAAGATTTGTGCCTCACCCCTCCAGGGTTACCGTCTGAAGCGGTGACAATCAGACGGTACTGGTCTGTGATCTCTCTGTCCAGAGGCTTGCCCAGAAGTAAAAGGCCAATCCTGTTGATAGAGGGCAAAGCAGATATTAGAGAACAGCACATTAAATTTTTACTTTTTCCCCTCCATTACTTTATTGTAAAACATGAGCAGTTTATTCATTTACAGAACTTCATTACATATTTTACCTTTGATACAGTATCAAAGAGTCAAGAAGAGGAGAATCCAAAACATTTTATTTAAATCAAGGTTTATAAAATATGGTCTTTGATCATAGAACACCCTTTGTGGGTAAAGAACAAGTGGGAGCTTAACTGCTCTCTTATTCTTTCCCTTCAGGTAGCCATGCTTCAGGGCCACGGCAAAAGGACAACAGATAAAAAGATTTCAATTTTCTTTCTAATGAGTTTCTCAGACAAAGCGGGCCCTCCTGCTCGTTCGTGCCACAAAGTTTGGCCCCGGCATTCCAAGTAAAAAGTGTAGATGGAGTCCTATGCATGAGACTGAAGTGTCTCTGTTTGCACACAAAACACACAAGGGCAAGTCAAGCCACACACAAACTCGGAGACAACAATTTTGTTCCTGCACTCAAGAGAGCCTCTGCCAGAAGGAAAAGCGGAAAGAAAGATGAATGCATCTGAACTCGGTGCTAAATTAATGCCCGTAGCAATTCCCCACTGTCCCCAGCTCCTTCCCATTTCTGATTTAAAGCTCTTGTGGCGAGGCAGTCCAAGCAAAACCTGACCACTCCATTCCTCTGCAGACCCTCACCATTACACTGCAGTGCCTCATTTTCATCTCTGACAGGCAAATTACTGAAATTCTGTCAATGTTATCTATTCCTCTAAACAGATGCCACAAGGTTAGGGGAAGAGAACTGTTTTATATTCCCCACACTCAATGATCCTTGACTTAAGAGGGCAAAAAGAGCTTTGCAAAAACACAATAAAACTGGTACATTAATTTTACAGACTGGCACTAATATATGAAAAGAAGGGTAGAAACCTGCGCTTTGAGCTCAGTGGCGATATCCTATAAATTATCACGATAACGATTATCTTGATGGGTGATAATGGCAGCAGGCAAAATGATTAATGCAGAAAAGCCAACCTGGGGAGTTTATTCCTCACTGAAGCTGGATAGCTGCACTGCACTCAATTGGAATGAGTCTGAGAGGTTCACTGATCATGTGCGATAACATCCCGCCTCCTCTGCCCAGCCGCCATAAATGAAAAGATGTTGTCAGATGTATGGGACACTATTAACAGCATTGTCTGGGGTGTCGGCGGTGTGGTCCGGAGGCTATCCTCCTCAGTCACACCAACAGTTGATCTTTCTTTCTGCTCAGATCATGTCTCTCTATGCTATATTGGACTTGATGCAGACGGCGCGAGTTCCCAGGGGCAAAAATGCTTTACTGGAGGCAAGACAAGCAAGATAAGTCACAAAACTGAAACTCAATTTCAGACTCACTAAGTGTCAGTTTTCACATTCAGCAGAAGACGGTGCCGTATGTTTAAGAGAACAACAAGCAGATGTTATAATCTGCTTGTTGCAATATTCTAGCAGAGACCACGAATGATAGTCTTTTTCTGTCGTAAACAGCAATGCGATGTTACATATTCCTGTTTAAGTTTTTGTGTTACTATAAAAGAAATTAGACTGAACTCGAAATCGTGCACAAATGTACACAGGGCAGTTAAAACAGCAGCAGGATGTGTTGTCAGAAAAGTCTACATTCATCCATGTAGTGATGTGTGTTTTCAGATTAGCTGTAGGGGAAGATCTTCTACAGGAGGTGAGATATCGAGGCACAGCTGTGACCTGTTCGTAAGCACCCTCTCTGTCTTTATCTGGAATGGTGTACGAAGGTCCAATGACACATTTTGCCTTAGAGCCGTGGACAGCTGCTTCCACTGAACGTGTCACAAACCTTGTGAGAACAGAAATAAATAAAACATTTTTTTTTTTGCCCTTAATACACTGTGTGTGTGAGGTTGGCGTAAGGCCAGAGGGATGGTTAAACCAGTATGAGCTAAAATTATAATTCTGCATCTTATGAGATTCCTAAGTTGAATTTGGAATGATGCATCTCTGGCAGAACCTTTTCTTCAACAAAATGTATCTTTAGCTTTTAGTAAACATATGTAAGCATATTTTAAATCTGACTAAATTAATTTCTTCCCCCAAAAACAAGGTATTCTGCATTGGCTTGCTGCGTCATTAGCTAGATTCTGACTAAATTTGTCCAACTTTCTTCCCTTTGATACCGTCTTCTTTCAGTAGCAAAAAAGAAAATATTTCTCTGAATCATATTTCTATTTTGTTCTCAAATTTTTATAATTGAAAGCATCAACTAGGCATGCACCATGAAATTAGGCTTTCTTAAAACCACAGGAACCATAAGTTGTCTTTGTATGTTGTATTTTGCTTATCAAAGAAACAAAATCAAAAGAAAATATATTAAAGTGCAGTGAATTATTTTATCTTTGCTCATGAATAGGATTCTTTCAGAAAAGCACATACAAATACGTTTTTTTAAAGACTAGATTAAGTTACAACTTAACTTGCAAACAAGTAGATAAAGCCGGAGAACAAATTTTTTACACTCACGTTCGAGAGAGGTTGAAGACATTCTGGGAATCTCCGCTCACAATTTGATACGTGATTGGATCGTTTTCTCTGTCTGTTGCCTGGAAGAAGAATAAAATGACACCAGAACCAGATAATGCTATCAGCCTACAGAAGAACATGACAGGGAAAGAGATAGGACGCATAAGCATAACACAATATGAAAGCAAAATACGCTACCAGTGAAGTCTATGCTCTCAGTCAAGTCTAACCTGGACAAACTATAGCAGTATTTGGACACTTCTGTGTCTTATGATGCAAGAACCTGCATCATACACTGGGGATGTGAATTTGCAACTTACTTGCAGATTGAGGAGAATGGCTCCAATCCTCATGGCCTCGCTGATCTCTAGGTTGTAGGTGAGGAGGGGGAAGCGGGGTGGACTCTGGTTGTTGGGCGGTAAAACCTCAATGTAGACTGTAGTGATCGAGCTCCTGGATAACAGAAGTGCCCAACGATGGTATCAGTTTCTGTTTGAACATTTTTTTTTTATTTTTTTTTTTGCCTAACTGATGATGTTCATTTCCAACACTTCACCACATCTCAGAAAAAATGTTAAAGTTAGTTCACTCAAAGGCAAAGCCCTCATCAGAGCTGGCATGCGTAGACCTTTTCCCTCAAAGCTTTCACTTACAGTTCATCTTCTAGTGAGATCACAAACACTTCTTCAAACAGTGAACACTAAAACTGATGAAATACACACCAGAGCAAATTCTTAAGACTATGAAAGAAATTACAAGTCTTTGCTTTTTTTTTGTGGTGGAGGATCTTGACCAGAAGAGCTTCAAAATACAAAAGAAACAGAAGCAGGAAGCCAGTTTCCGAAATCACACACACACAAAAAAAAATCTCGTACAAGCGCATATGTGGTCAGTAAGACCCCACCAGACAGGACAGAGTTAAAAACTGGTGGGGTCTAATAAACCCCACACCAAGTCGTACACTAATCCTGGGTGGTGAGCTTCTCCATTACAGTCTGTTCACTAGTGTGGCAGGACGTGAGCAGGCAATTCTCCGCTGATGTTTGCAGCCACGTTCAGAAATGGAGAACCTCGAGGTTCTGGTTCTGATGGACTCAAATAAATCCAGATATTTAATTTTGTTATATAGAACTTCATTGTTGCCCCAAACAGATCAGCCGGTTATTTCGCTATACATATAAATAAAATTACATTATGACACTTTATTTTTTTAAATGTGCAACCTTTTGTCAAAAGACTGCATTGCCGAATGCCACTCATGGTTTTAATCCATTTTTTTTTATTAAAATGAAAATAAAATTCACATCACAAGCTAACACTATGTATTTTCACGCTGTCTGTTCAATACTGAACAGCCTAAAATAGGCTAATAAAATATGAGCTAAAATTAAGAACAAGTTTCATGAGAAGAAAAACTTAAAATCTGTTATTTTATAATTATTCATCTTATTATTAATCTGATATAAACATCAGGAAATAAATACTGCTTAAACCCAGAAAAAATCCTGGCAAAAGTTACAATTTCTGACAAGCAGGAGATGGATCGATGGATGCTCGTATTGCTGAATCATCTATAAAGCTGCTCTTACATTCCCCCAAAACCTCTTTTCAGAAATCTATTTCAATGTGTTAACCTAGACAAAACTTCTCAAGTTGAACAGCATATTGCATATTAAAAACAAATTCATAAACAGTAATCAGTGAAAGGGTGACCAGTCTATCACAGTTCACAACAATCTGAAACCAACTAACAAAATATTGAGAAAAAGAGAAAATCTGCCCCTTTTTAATGTGTTAATGACCCATATGATTAATAACAAGAAAATAAAGTTCTTATTTCATCATTGTTATACGAGATAGTTGTTGTATATCTGTACCTTCTCTGGGTTTGAGGTGCATTATCAGAGGCTTTGACCGTCAGCGCATAAGATTGTCCCACAGATAAGACGACACCAGGCGCCACAGTGATGCGTCCGGAGCGATTATTAATAACAAAATCTCCCTGGGCTCCAGCCAGGATCTCGTATGTTACCAGGCCATTCAGCCCCTCATCAGCATCCGATGCAGTTAACTGAGAAAACAGAGCAAGAAAAAATAGTACGACACATTATCAGCACGATCTGCCTGCTTTCTGCAGTTTGTAGTTTTAACCTGAGGGGGTTACGGCTAACATTATTTATAAAACAGTCAAACAGCCAATGTATTTTTTACAGGGGTTCATGAGGCTTGTTTCTGTGTAACATAATATTTTTTTTAATGGACATGTGACATTTATGTAAAAATAAAGAGTTGTGTATTCTACTGGTAAAAACTATAAATTAATGGTCATATCCCGCTTCACATTAAACGGATTATAGATTTGTAAAGAAAAAGTTGAAATATTCTTTTTTTTTGAAAGGTAATAAGTGAATTCAAACGTCGCATTTCTCCAACATTCGAACTCCAAATGCAATAAAGACATTCCGCTGTTCATGATTATTAGCCTTCATGCTGCGGCTGACCTCGTATCTTTAAAGCTTTGAAACTTTAATCCAAGCTTTCACGACCTCCTTTTTCCATGACACAGACACTGGAGTAAAAGTTGTAACATCAAATAAGCTTCAGCACACTCAGGGGGGACTCCAGCTAACATAAACAGCTTATAAAATCGGTTAAGCGGTCAGAGCAGACATTCTAACCTCTGGCCTCATTTCGAGCAGGGTGAACTGGCTGTTTTTTTTTTTTTTTTAAAATAAAGACTAAACTTGACCTTTTCTGTGGCTTATTCTTTTATTTTGTTTTGGAGAGGCTGTGCTGGAAGAACAGATCGACTGAAGAAGAAGAAGAAGAAGAAGAAGAAGAAGAAGAAGTATTTGCTTGTATTTGTCTACACCGACTCGCAAAAGCCACCATATTTTTTTAATCTTTTCACAAGTTGCTACATTAAAACACTAAAACTTCTTTTTATTGCAACATTATGCGAAAGACCAAGATTGAGCAGTGCATAATTATAAAGTAAAAGTAAAAGTAAAATGACACATGGTCTTCTATCTTTTACAAATAACAATCTGAAAACTTTGGGTTGCATTTGTAACCAGTCAGAGCTGGTAAGTAGACTCCATCTGTGTGAATAAATACAGCTGTTCTGCAAAGGCCTCTAATGTTATTAGAAAAAGGTTATTGAACAAACAGCACATTGAAACTCAAGATAAGGCACTCTTTCGCACTTTTATTTGTGCTCTGCTTCCCTAGTATGAACTACTTTGTGTTGATTGATCACACTTCATATTAAAATACACTGACGTTTGAGAAAAGTCTGAGAAAAGTTGAAGTGGTATGGATGTTCTCTCTACATGCTTGATTGTCTTTGTATATGTTTGACAGAAATAAAAATAAAGACATGGAAACCTTTAAAGTCAGTGTAGTAATTAAATCAAAACAATGACCCAAATCCACAGAGCAATCCAAAAAAATGATTGAAGTAATAGAAAAGCAATCCTGCTTTATTTCCAAATCCTGTTGTATGCTGTAGGAGGGGTTGATAAATTGCCATCACGGAATCCTTCCACTACGACTTACTGATGCCAGAGAAAAAACAAAAAACAAAAAAAATAAATAAAAAATTTCTCTTCCATGTCTGTTATGACTGCATATAAGACAAAGGGATATGCTCCTGGGCTTTGCCTGTCAACACAATGGCCAAGACTGTTGTGGTTATTCTTACTGAGCATGAAAAAGCATTTGAAAGAGAGATTCTGTGTGATGGGGACAAAGTGCAGTGTCTCAGTGGTAGATGGGGGGGAAAAAAAAACAAAAAAACAAAAAAAAACGGAAGGCAAAATGGAAGAGAATGATCGCTCTGGATTGATTACCTGTAGCACTGTCTCCCCTGGCTGCATGTCTGTAAAGACTTCAATGCTGTAGGAGACCTGAGCAAACGTGGGCGTATTGTCATTGGCGTCAATAACCAGGATGTTGACAGTTACTGGACTACTCTGTTGGACACCATCTGATGCCACCATCTGAAAACACAAAAAGGAGAAACACTTAGAAAACCAAAGACCTGTAAACAAAGAACACTTTTGCAGAGGAATCATAGATTACTTTTTCTTTTTTCATTCAAACTTCAAAGGCGTATGGTTCTGGTATGTCACTGTGTTTAAGAAACTCCTCTCTATATGTTTATTTTCCACTTTGTGAGAGTAAAAGAAATGCCTTCAAAGGCGATTGCTACCAGTAAGTTTGCCTGAAGGATGGTTTTCAAACTGAGCAATCTATGTTTACTTGTTTGTGGCAGCTCTGATCTGCAGCTTTTCTGAAAGGAGCAAGGAAATGGACTAAGCAGAACAACAAATCAAGAGCAGAAAGCAGAGAGGATCGAACCCGCAGCTGTCAGGAACACTAACAATATACATCTCAATGCAGACAAGAAACCTATCCACAAAACTGAAGAGCTAAGCTTAAAATATGCAGTACATTAATAGCTTTTTGTTGCAGGGGTAAATTATGTGTAGTAAAGATGTCGTGCTTCAGAGACATACATCATACAACTATGCTTTTGACTTTTGATAGATAGCCTTGTTCGGTCTTAAATAAAGACTAATGAGATTTGCATCACTCTAATTGTACTGTTTGTATTAAAATCAGGCTTTTAAGTAAATTGCACACATTTTCAGTAGGGTGGATGCAGAAGCTTGATTTAAACTTTACAAAACCAATACGTCTTGAATCACAATGCTATTAGATAAGTCAATGATGGCTAGATTTTTTAATCTTAACATCAATATATTTACTGTTAACACTTTCATATTCTTTAGATGGCAAAGCTCTTTTTATTGAACAGGCTTTGCAAGAAGACCTGCATAAACCCTCTATTCAGTGTTTGAGAGCACAACCACTTAATTTTTTTCTACTTTGACATATTTGCTTCAACTGAAGTTATTGCTCTTAATAAATTATCTAATTATTTGCTTTAAAAAAACAGTGAAGTAATAGATACATTTTGCCAAAAAAAAAAAAAATCACATTTTCAACAACCGATTCAGTTTGTGTCTCTGCTGCATTGATCAATGCATCTTTGTAACACGCTTGCGTAAAAACTGAATACCACACACTTAATGCTACGCAACCCGTTACAGTATTGCGGAGCCTAGACAGATAGCAGCATGGGTTACAACTGAAGCATATTGATTCTGGGAATTGTTACAGAAATGTGAAAGTACAATATACCGATACAGCTTGTTAGGAACGCAAAGACAAACTACACCCGTGACACTAAACAGTACGTAAACAAACGTCTTGCACTAGTTATGTCTGCCTAGAGATATTTTAATAAAAACAAGTTTTGCCATGTAATGTTCCCAATGTCTTAAGTGCTAAAACATTAAAATCTTTCACACAAGGACAGCCTTTGTTTGAAGAACTGCGACCTATTTATGACAACCGAGTGTCATGAATACACCATAGAGAAAATGTTCACAGTAATTCCATCTCTTTGGTAGTTTTTGACTTTTAATATGATTTATTTTAATACATCGACTTCTGTTTGCTCTTCAACTAATCCGCTTTCAGTATCCAGTTTTTGTATCTGCAAAAAGAGACATTAATGCTTTTGAGGAACATTTATATGTTGTTCTTCACATATGATGTTGTCCTTCTAAAATTAGAAGTTTTAATTGCAAAGTTCAGCAGTCGGCTTACAATGTCAACAATCATCACTGTCAGACAGGCCCTGGGGCTGAGAACTTGTCAGTCACTTACCAGTACTTGGGCTTCAAACGCAACAAACCACATATAACAGTCTATTGACAAAACAAACCTGAGCACAGCACAGTGAGAGAAAAAGGTCAACCTTGCACACACACAATAAACACAAGCTCCTTCGGTTTCTATACAGAATGTGAGCTCACTAATCCAAGGAAATGAATCCTTTATGGATGCAGCTCCTGTACTGTCCAGAGACACATTTTAGCAACAAGGCATTTCAAAGTGCTTTACATGAGAAAAACATAACAGTAATCTATTTCTAGAATAGGGAAGGGGGGTGTCATGTATGTATTTCTGAGCTACACATCATGTTATGATGGTGTGATTCTTTAAAGCATGTTTAAGTAATCATTTAATCTCCCATTGCAGCCAATCTGGATGCATGAACATTTTCCCTCATCAAGCGCCGCCTTTTCCACGCAGCTCCTCCTCGGAGCTGCAGTCTCCTGTTGAGCCTCCGCATCATAGAGCACCCCTCTTCCACACAGCTCGTTCAGACTGGTGGCAGCAGCCATTAGCAAACACCTGGTGGAACTGGACATCTACTGACCTCATCATAGGAACCATTTCTCAGTGGAATGCTTCTATGAACATTGTAAATGACTTAACAGAGAAATGTTGTCATGACGTGATGAAGGCGGAGTGTCAGAAAGAGCAGGAGCTTCTTAAAGTGACAAAATCAAGGAGTTAATTTACAAAGTCAAATGTTTTTTTTAAGTCGTGGCTGATGTATATTGCATTTTTATAATAAGTTAAGAATATGTATTTTCTTGATTGTCACAGGTAGTGTGACTTTATGTAAATTTTTATTCCATCTATTCTATTTTCAAGGCGAGCAATATTTTCTTTATATTATAGTATTATTCAAATGTATACCTGATGAAATAGAGACCTGATCACATTTTAAAGGCTTCAAGACATGCTTCTATTTGTTAAATCAATACCAAATTAAAAGCAAAGTACATAAATGCATGACGTTTATAGTGTCATAATAAACGGTATCCAAATTTTATCCACTGGCATCCATCTCCAAGTGCCTCTTGGTTTAACAATAACAGAATAACACACACAGAATGAGAGATGTTAGACCTCAGGGCTGTTTTGAGGATGCCTGCACTGAGCTCGACACTCACCGTGAAAGTATAGGTCATCTGCTTCTCCCGGTCCACAGGTTTCAGAATCGTCAGGTAGCGGATTATACCAGCTGGGGTCAGGCTGAAAATTGTGGTGTAGTCATCCAGGGTAATCTTCACCATAGGGTCTTTGGTCTTTCCGAAGGAAAGAGACACCAAAAGAGACATGTAACCATGGTGACACTGGTGCTGTATCACTGTTTCCCCCCCTAAGGTCGCAGCTGTGGGACTCGGAAACCTATCAAAAATACATATTGATGTGCTGAAGTGTTGGAAAAAAGTAATTTGCTGGCAGGTGTCTCCACAAAAAGAAAGCACGAGATGAGCAGAGGACAAAATCATTAAACTACGTCAGTTAAAGTACAGTAACGGCAAAAATGTTTACATACCACATCCACGTAGTTGTAGTTTTTAATGAGGCACTTGACTCATTTTTAAGGGTCACTGATGATATTCGTTACACCATCAATAAATTTCTGTGAAAGTATGATAACGTAATAAAAAAAAATGCTGTTTATGTCGTCTCATTTTTTACAATTCTGAAATGTCAGAATAAATTGAAAGATGTAAAACAATTAGGACAGATGGGCACACATTTGAAGTTAGATTAACGCATCATTGGAATCCCAAAATTTATATCTATGAATAAGTACAGTCTGTAAACTGCTAACTGGCTTTAAATTCAGAAATATTGTTCTGTTCATAAAAGATGGTGCTTCTGTTTCTGTAAAAAGAAAGCAAGCAGTTAAGCTGTGAATCAAATGAAAATGTCATACTGCACTTGTTAAGCATCTGTATGAAGATGAAGGCAAAATCCTTTCAAACATTTTTAAGAAAGTCTATTTCACTCTAGACATATCTTTGTGTCTATTTTAGAAAAAAAAAACAACAAAAAAAACAACTGGAGTTTATTGTGCTCCGTTGCTGCTGGTCAGCTTCGATTCATGCCAACAAAGACTCATCCTCAGAAAGGTTGGTAAACATTAAGCCTGGGTAGCTTATTGATTTCATCTGCGACTCCACTTTGATTTGTTCATTTTCTCCAAGTAAGGGGCAGAGAAAAGGGATATTTTGAAAGTTGAATTAAGGGTAGTGATCAGTTCTTCTCAGTTTTATGTAAACACAGTCACACACACCAAACTGCTAAATCTGTCAGCTTTGTAAAAACATACATGAATATATATTTATATATATATATATTTTTTAAATTACACACCCAAATATCAAGTCACAAAACCATGCCAGAGAAAAGTTAACATTCCAAGAGAATAGTTGAATATGTTTGTACAGAAATATTAATCTAAATAAAAAGAGCAGTAAAGAAAAAAAATGTGAAGGACTTCAAACACACGCAGGCTCATTGATATACAATATAAGAATGCACTCCTCTAACACTACAAATATTATGATAAAGAAAAACATCCATCACAACTGGAGACCTGCTTGACACTTTATCAGTTGTTAGGGTTTTCTTTCCTCTTTTTAATAAAAAGTCTTAATTTTCCATGTGTGTGTTAAAGATCTCCAGCAATGAGGAATGGCTTTAATTTGTTTACAGCTTCCGCAGAGTGATGCATGCATTAACAGCAGGGATGTCCTGAGTCAATTTGTTGGAAAGTACAAAAAGATCTGGTCGAGAAATATAATTGGATTGGGGCTGCCTGAGTAAAGCTTTTATCCATCGGTTCTTGTTTTTATTGCAACTTCTGCTTCATGTATGGAACATGAAAATCAGTCTTTGAAAAAACAAACAAACAAACAAAACAAAACAAAAAAACAACAACAACAGGAAAAACGAACAACACGTGTCCCGATGGTGTGCACGATGAAGTTGTTTCATGGAGCAATGCAAACATTATTTTTTATTTGTTTTTTTCAGGTATTAAATCAATATATTAATCTTCATACATTTTGCTCAAAATTGATTAAAAAAGTCTCTTCAAAGATATTATGTAAAAACTGTTTATCAAACTAAGTTTAGGTTTGTGACACTGAATTAATGCAGCATTATTAATGCCATCAAATACCTTGAATTTGATTTAGTTTACTTTACTTACTAATATAACATACTGTATTGTATCACATATCACATATGTTATAACATATATACCAGTAAAATACTGGTATATTTTAAGTTCCTGCGTGCACACCTGCAAAGTGTAGATGTCTATCATTTTTTAGACCATTAATATTGCATAAAACTAATCAGAAGGCACTAAAACAACATTTAAAAATGACTCAAATAAATGGGAAATTTGGAGCAATAGAAATTGGGTCAGGACATCCTTCCATTACACTGTGTGTCATTTCATGGAACGTCACCCGCTTTTACCCACAGGTGTAGCACCAGGAGCCAGCTATGTGTGAAAAAACACAAAAATAAATGGCTAAATATGTAAAAAATTAAAAGGATTAATAATACAAAAGAAATAAATGAATAAAAAATAAATGAACAAATGAGTAAATAATTAAAAAGAAGCAATGACTAAAAGGATGAATGAATAAAACAAGCAAAGAAATGAACATAATGTATATAAATAAATACTGAGAAACACATCTAATTTAAGAAATAATGAATGAATGAATAAATGCATTAATTAAATTAATGACTAAATACATAAGTGAATAAAATATTGAAGTTTGTAGAGCGTTTAATGCGCTAAAGGCTTTTGTCTGTTCATACCTCTTCAATGTCATTATCCAAAGCGATGATTCCCAGCGGGGCCGTGAGGTTGGCACTGGCGGAGATGGTGGTGCCCACTGGGGAGGCCTCACTCACGTATCCCTGATAGGTGGCAAACTGGAAATATGGCGCCTGGTTGTTCTCGTCCAGGATTTCAATTATGAGGTCAGCGTAAGCTGGTAGGGGATGTCCATTGTCCTGTTCTGCCTGCATAGGAAAAAAAAAAAAACAGAACAAAAAAGAAGCATAAGAGATAAATGTCAGTCTGAGAAACTTCCAATTGAAAGGTATTATGTTCCACCTTCTATAGTAGGTAAATACAGGATAAAAGACAGACATGTTAGCTAGTTTCATTTCAATTAGAAATGAATCTATGTTGACAAAGTTTAACAGGTGCTCCACTAAGGACAGGTTCTTACTAATTGCCAGGGCACTTAATGCAAATACCATTGTTTGAGGCAGAGAGCCCATAATTACTGGCTCTCCTACTCTGTCCAATGAGTGATCACCGATAGGAGAGGAGAATTCTAGCAGTCGAAGCTAAAATTAACCTCTTAACTATTTAATGTATTTCTACTGCATCAAACGCTGTCTCCCTGGTGTGCGAGTGTGAGTGTGAGTGCGTGTGCGTGTGTATGTAAAGTCAATTATGAGTCTCCAGTCTTAGTTTCTGTGCTGTGTTTCTGTTCTGCCTGAAACCTGATTAACCATGCAACAATCTGATAAAAACAAAATCCCCACTAATCGCCTTACCACGTTGATTAACTTTCTCCAAAAAACTAGATAGCTGCCTCTGTCTGGCAATGTTGTTCTAATATTTTACCCCACAATTAAGTTGGGGAAAACAAATAATACCTAATCAGATATTTTTATGGTTTTGTATAAAAATCAATGAAAGTAAAAAAAAACAACAAAAAAAAAAAAACATTTTATAAAGCCACATCTACAAATTCAGATTTTGCCGATCTCTTCTTTTGAAAAACGAATATTTAGCAACTGACAACTTTCTTTACCTCTGACTGGTTGTTTAGTTGTGCAAAGAGAGAAGAAGCAAGCAAGCTGCCAAATCTTAAATGTGTGAAAAACATTTTGCAAATGTGTTTCATGGTGATGCTGACCAGAAAGTAGAGACAAGTCAATTTTTCTTTTTTTTTTTTTAGTTTGGTTTTGCCAAGGTTTTCAGGCTCTGCAACGTTGCATGTTTTTCACATACATAAAGCAATAAAACACATTGAATGAGAAGAGATAAAAAGAACAAGCCTTATCTCCTTTTGTGCAATTTTCTTTCCAACACATAAATAAAAGGGTTTTAATAAAAACCTATTTAATTGTTTAGGAACCCACTTAATATTTTTTTGGCGAGTCCACGACACAGACTGATATTTCAGCTTTTCATGTAAAACTTAAGAAACTATTTGTTGGGCAGTCAAAGGTAAAGCTGACAGCCCAGGCCTTTATCTTCACCCACTCCAGTGGAGTGGATCAGACTCCCACTCTGTGGTTGCATTCAGTGGATCAGCACTGAATGCAACCACACGTGAAAGCATGTGTAACAACACAGATGTTTTCTGTTTCAGAGGAAGGGAGTTATTTCACAAGATAGTGTTACTACCCAACTACTGGGTGTTTGTGGTGAACAAACTTGAAATAAAAACACACAAGATTTTTATTTATTCAAATATTACAGTAAAAGGTGCAAAGTGCATCTGCATATATGGTGCTCCTTTGACTAAAGTGTACTTTGACTTCACACATATACGTTGCACATCTACAGAATCCATTTTTTGCAACACAGTGCAGCTCAATAAGTTTGGATGGATCGTGTTTGTAGATTTCATGTCTCAATTAGTTTTATAGTACATAACCACTTCATTAGATGCAAGCATTTTATGTGTAAAAAAAAAAAATCATCCAAGGTTTTCCAAAGCAACTCTAGGTGTGTGTTATTTTTATGGAAGAACTTTAGCTACATGAAAATTAGATTTGCAGTCTGCATGCCATATTGTTGCTTTGTTTAGGGATCTCCTCAGATGTGGTTAATTACTGCTCATAAAGACGTACCACTGGCCTTTTCGCTGCTTGATGTAGATTTACACTACTGCCATTCTCTTTCCATTTTAGAGGTTGGCTCAAAAGTTCAAAATTTACAATACTGTTTTACAACCAAATTTTGTTTTAAACAATTTTATTGCTTTTTCTCTTTGGCTGTCTGGTGGTTTCCTCTGTGTTCATAGAGCAATTTCACTAATGTTCTGCGACAAACCTCTGAGACCTTTACAGAACAGCTCTATTTGTACTTAGCTAAAATTAGACCTAGCTGGGCTCTGTAGGGGGTACTGTGAAGGCAACTGGTTTTGCAGGATTTTCTAGGGGTATCAGAGCAAGCAGGATGAATACCAACGCAACCTGCGCTTTAAAGGTGATGTTATGTAAAATTGACATTTTTAGCTTTGTATTATTTAATGTTATTCCCTCATCAAAAACAAACCTGGAGTGTTGCTTTGACAAACACCTGATGGAAATGTGCTTCAGCTGATCTCATTAGCTGATGATCTTCTCAGTTTAACGCTTGATTATAAAAGGAGTGATGGAGGAACATTTTTGTAATGACGTGCTGAAGGCAGAGGCAGAGCTTCTTAAAGAGACAGAGACCAATTTCAAGATGCCTATTGTGAAGTCAAATTTCTTTAAGTTATGCTTGATATAAACAACATTTTTATTGTTGAATTTAACAAATCTGCTTGATTGTACTTTAAAATAGCACCATCTTCCTGGAAAATACATCATACTGTTCCTTCAAGAATTGCTAAGACAAGCAAAAAACAGTTGTTTTTTCACTTTCACATAAGCACTACAAAGTGCGGCTCTGTCACATAAAAATGCATATCTGAAATTACTGCCCAAGTGTGTTAGGTTTCCATTTTAGAAGCCACTTTTCATGCAACTCAAATAAATTAGAGGCAGCTGAATAAAACTATTCCACAGAATCAACAAAGTAAGTTCCCAGATAGCACAGAATGACTGAAACAACATTGAATCAATGTTGAAAGTGGTCGGTCACTTGTATGTTGAATCAACGTTAGGGTTTCAACCATAACTGACATATCAATGTTGATTCAACCATCATCTGTATGTCAACTTACATGCCTATTTGTGTTATTACATTGAATCAGTTAGGAATCAATGTTGATTCAACCATCATCTGGACGTGGATCTGCATGCATATTTGTGTTGATTCTACATTGAATCAGTTCGGAATCAACGTTCATTCAACCATCATCTGAACGTGGATCTGCATGCATATTTGTGTTGATTTTATATTAAATGAAAGCTAGGGATTTATGTACATTTTTAGGTCTGATAGGTCTACATCATAACATGCCACTAAAAGTTTCTTCACTGGTGTTAAACATACTATATTATTGGCAGATGATGCGTAAACTGTGTACAAAAGTTTAAAAATGACAACATGGGTTTGATATAACATTTTATTTAAGAGGGACAGATCTTTAAACATATTTGACTCCTTTTTGACTGTCAAAACAACAGTCTGTTGTCCATAGAAGAACAGAGTCCATGAAGTTAAGCTTTGTACTGTATGAAGTAGGGAAACGGTACAAGTTGTGGTAACCCCAGTTTGACTCTGGTTGGCGTCACTTTGATTCCTTGCGATGTCTTCCTCTTGTTCTGGCGAGTAATGAAGCCACTTCTTGACAGTTTCACTGCAGTCCAAGAGTCAGCTTTCGGTCAAACTGCAGAGCAACGGCTGAAAAACGCATAAATAAAAGTGAGGAAGGTGCCGGTTAGAAAGATGATAAACATTTGACAAGTTCTGAGAGACATTGAAAGATTAAAAAGTGTACTGGTTACAGGTCTGAGAACAAATGCAAACCATATAGTTCCCCATGTACACTTACTGTTAAATTAATATTTATCTTAATCTTTCATTAATATTTATCTTAATGTTTACATATACAACTGCATTTACCCATCAAGCTGCAGCATAATGTATGATTTATGATATTGATATTAAATCAATATTTAAAATAAAGGGCTGTTTATCAGAAAACCTAACGATAAAACTCAGGGAGGATCAGGTTTATTTAACACACCAGAGACAAATAAATCGAACAAAAGGTGATTTATAGTGTAGTTGGAAAAATTATAATTTATACAGAATAAACTTCCACCAAATAGCTGGTTCAATCTTCCATCAACTACAAATATTTCCAAATAAGTTGATTAAATTCCTTAAAGTGTCTATATGCTAATAAAGATCCCACACAAGTAACAATAGTCCAGTTCAGTTTAACCAATCCAAGGATCAACAGACTGAATCAGTCATTAGCAGGTTTAGTTTAGTGTTTCACATGCCTTACATGTTAAGTGTTTCCCTTCTGCCTCACCTGATTGAATCTGTGGATGATTAACAACCTTCTGCACTTCTTGATGGCTGCAGAGGTTAATGTAATCATCCAACTCAGCTGTTCTGGTACAGAGGCTCATTTAAGCACGACCCTAAGCATATCATAATAAAATTAAAAACAAGTGATTACTATCACAACAATTTAAAGCCCACCGGGACGAGCCAGCCTTACACTTCCTTGTCCACCACATGCTCTCCCAGACCAAACAATAGGCATGGCCCTATTTTAAAAACTCAAATCCCACAAAATCTCACAGGATTTCATACTTAGGCCTGCAGTGATGGGTAGGATGAAAATAATACAAAAGGAGACATGACCTCAATTATTAAAAATATCCATTTTGCCCCAAAATAACCAGGATTACTATGGGCACAAAACAATGCCCTTATTTTTCAATAAACACATTTAAGATCAAAGTAATATTGAAAAACTTACCATAAAACTGCTCAGAGGAGAATTCAATTCAGAAGCCGGTAGCAAACAAGCCAGCAGCAAAGTGGCTGTTTGGTTGGGACAAACCACTAGTGTAAAATTGGGGAGGTGGACTGTACAACTCCTAGTACAGACTTGTAGATGTTTTTGTGTCAACACATTATGCACAGTCAGTAATAATATTTACAGACAAGTAAGAAAATGTACAGAAAGGAATCACAACCCACTGTTCTCAATATGTAGTGCTTAATTTGAAACATGATTAACCCCCACCTAGTAATAAAATGTTCTGACCCAGAGCTCAAGGAGGGGGGAGGGAAGAAGGGATGAGAGGGGGTAAAGAGGGGAAGGTTG